ACCATGAGAAAATCAACTCATGGGTTTCCTTTTCTTTCCCATATGAGTATGGGGCTCCGCTTGGCGGCCCTTCGGGCCGCCGGAGCTCCGCTATAAGAAAGTTTTAAACTTTCACTTGCTGTAAAAGTTAAGAACAGTTGTCGATAAATCCCGAAACAGTTTGGCAACAAAACCAACTTTAAATTTTAGCGGGCCGTACAGGAGAGTACGGCCCGCTAAATTGACCAATCACAGCGTGCGTACTAACTGAGAGATATAATAAAACAGCTTACAGGGTTCTTTGAGGTACCTTGAAACTCCTTGAATTTGCAAACTTCAAGTCAATTTCAAACCTTTGAATTTTTTTTTCCATTTTTGATATCTAAATCTTTTCCGTAAGTAGTGAAGTCAACTGTATGAAACAAACTTTACTCTAACGGTTTTGTATCCCTTAGCAGTTTGTTCTCTAATTTATCAATAACCAATCCATGTAAGTTAAGGTCACAGTAATTTCCTAGTTTCCTCTGCGCCTATCTATTTTGTCTTAAGAATTTAGGGCATACTACATGTATGTGTAACAAGAACTCTGCTCTCTTTCAGGTCACAAATCAAATGATCACCGCTTGTAAAAACTACATCACAGAACACGGCTACAAGACAGTGTGGGAATATCAACAAGAGGAACTTGTTGAGAAACTGAAGAACTGCATTCGACTGAACGAGGAGTACCAGAGATGTTTCCAAAAGACGAAGCAGCGACTCGAGCAGAATCTCGAGGAAAGGCAGTTCGAATTCAGTGAAATGTACATTTTTGGCAAAAGTAACACATTTTCTCGCCGGCTTAACAAGATTATTGATATGCTGGACACGATGAAAGCGTTTTCGTGTCTCGGAGAGTCGCGGATTGAAGGCATGGAGCAACTTTGGAACAAGTTTGTTTTGATTGTTACAACAATGAAGAAGAAACCATACGACTTGCTGGATTATCGCAAGATGGATTTTGATGCTGACTTTGACGAATTCAAACGGCAAATAAATGATCTTCAGGTAAAATGGCTTGTGTTTCTTTCTCATGTTATCGTAGGCTGAATGAAGGGAAGTACAAAGTTCACTTATGTACAGTGTATCTCTATAATGGACTTCCTGCTGAGGTGATACAGCTACAGAGTGTTGACTGTTGAGGCGTTTAGGGCCACTCTCATCTCTTTTTTTATCCCACTCGTAATAGTGATTTAGCTATATTTATTTCCTATTTTATCTTTATATCTGTGGTGGTGGGTTAATCCCTGTGCAGATAACTGATTATAAATCGACCTACATGCCAATGTAGATGTAGATTGACCTCAACAAAAGGTTAAAACAACAGTGATCACTCGAACCTGCATCAGGAATGACATACTGGATGCTCCACGGTTCACGTTGACCATGGTGGGAGTGTAACAATAGTGGCTTTTGTTTAAAGCCACTTGAAGTAATACGGGCAACATATTCTATCAACTTGTCGCGAAACAAGTATTACCGTTACTTACCGATATACTTAGTCCCACTGGCCTCGGTTAAAAAAGTAGGATTTTAATTTATCTGCGCCCATAACTCCATGTTCTTTCAGCTTCTTTGTGCGTGTTTTCAAACCTTCACCAAACTGGAGTTAGCCGATTTAAAACTGTGTTTTGTACTAAACTACATGATTGTATGTTTTTGTTTTCGAAAACAGGTTCAACTTCAGATTTTTATGGACAACGCATTTGACCGGATTCCTTCAACTCAGCGTGCTTTGAGATTAATTAGGAAGTTTGAAAGGTACGTTTTTGAGAAGTACAATGTAGGATATGAATATACGGAAAGAAAATTAAAATAGTCAAAGCAACTGAAATGGTCATTCCAGTTTTATAAGACATTTGAGAAGATGAAGTAATATTAAATTATTGTAGTCAGTGATTTCATTTGAACTTTCCCTCCAGGTTGTCTCTCGATAGTTTGAAAGACACGATCCAAGAAAAATACGAGCGAATCCTCATGTATTACGGCCGTGACATCGATACGATTCAAAAGATTTACCAGAGGCATCGCAACGATCCGCCGGTGGCCTGGGATCTACCGCCCATCGCCGGCAAGATAGCCTGGGCCCGACAGATGTACAGAAGGATTCAAGAGCCAATGGAAATGTTTCAGAAGTATCCCACAATTCTTCAGACAGCGGACGCAAAGAAGATCATCAAGAATTACAATAAGTTGGCTAAGGTTCTGTTGGAGTTTGAAGTGCTATACCATCAGGCCTGGATGAAACAGGTATATAATACAGGTGGCAGTTACGATGTAACAACTGAAAGATTTGTTCCGAAAAAGGTGCTTTTCCCTCCAGGAACGACCACCTTGTCCCGAGCGCGCGTCTTTCCATTCGCGTCTCATTAAAAAGACCTTACATGGATTTACAATGACCTCCTGACCTCTCATATTCATGGTCACATATCTTTTTTCGACCAGTTCATTTTGCTCCCAGATGGCCGTTGTAGAGTGCCATTTTACTCCCAAACAGTGGTGCCATATTTCATTTTGCAACGAACGTGCGTGGAAAATCAAACAGGCCGTGATGAAATGTCTTCTTATTCACCAAGGGCCTGCGAGGGCAAACCGGCTGTTCCACTGCGCCGCGCCAACTTTCTAAGGAACAGCTATGTACATTGTATGATGGTGCGGTGCTGTGGAACAGTTTACCCGTCAAACTGCGGCAAGTACAAACTCTCGCCAGTTTTAAATCCGGCTGCAGCGGTCTTTTCTTGCACATGTAAATAATATAAAGACAAGGCATTCGTAGAAAGCAGGCACCGCTAAAGAGCTCTCATTTGAATTGTTACACGTCAGGGTTTTCATCTAATCTCATGTTCGTTTTTTCTTACACCATGCAGGTGGAAGTAGCGAAGTCTGGTCTCCAGGCTTCCCTCCTTGTTCGTCACCCTGAAACCAAGGAGTTGTTCGTGAACTTTGACCCTCAGATTCTAACCCTCATCCGGGAATCAGAGTGTATGGTTCGCTTAGGGCTGGATATTCCATTTGGCGCCCAGACCCTACTCCAAAAACGACAAACAATCAAGAACAACTTCAACCGACTTCAGGTAGGAAATGGCTTGTGATGAAATACGGCTTGAAGCCTGCATAGTAACATTGCACACAGTTTTGTATTGCAGGTCTTGATTAGCCACCAAGCGAAGATGATCGCATTTGTTTTCATGTTTGTCATTTTGCAGGAATTAATGCAGTTGTGAAAAATGATTACACATTAGAATACACTTTGTATTCAGGCGCGCTTTGATTGCTAGACTAAATTGCTTCATGTTCGTTCTGTGGTTCATGTCTTCTAAATTTTGTTCGTGTTCTCAAATTTTCGTCGTGTTTTGTGTCAGTTTTATAGTACTGAGGTATAAAGAAAAATTGCGGTCTTAATAATCGGTCACCTAAAAAGAGTAAATCAATGGAGACTACGTTAAGGCGCTCTTTATCTTTTAAGTAATTGTGAAATGGTTAAAGGACAAATTTGGTTATCTAATTAAAAGCTGCCAGCCAGACTGACCCGAATTTTTTTCTCCCTCTTTCTTTAGTTGTTGTTAGGTGAAAGCGTGCGTGTTCTGAGCAGAATACCTCAGGCATTTAAACCCCTGATGTCGCCACATCTGGCTAAAGTGGAAGCAGCAATCGAGCCAGGTCTCACAATGCTAAACTGGACATCTCTGAGTCTTGACGCCTATATGGATAGCGTGTACGAAGCTCTGAAAGAGCTCGAGCTGCTGATTGATCGAGCGAATGATCTGGTCAAGTTCAGAATAGAGGCAGTGTTGCAAGAGATGAGTAACACACCGCTTTGTGAGTTGCCCAGTGATGCTCCTTGGACGATAGAGAAATTCCTTAAAAATACAGAGGTAACTTAATTTCTATTGTTACTTTTTTTAAAGAAGAAAAAAATGAAGGCAAATAGGCCAAATAATGTGAAGGACACTAGCCAAAGGCTAGAGTAACAGGAAATATGCCGCATATGGACTGATATCTTAGCGTAAATTTAGTTCTGTTGTTAAACCCCCAAAAGTTGGCAAGCGAGCCAAGATGCAGTCAGTTAGTCATGGCCAGTGAGCGCACTGCGTGTGATCGTAATGCAGGTAGTTTTGCTTTGCCTACCCTAATATTCCAAATCTTGTTACGCGTAATCGTTTTGAAGATAACGTGAAGTAGCTACAAATATTGTTACTTCCCATAGATTGGATACTTAGTCAGTGTGCCGTTAATCGCTTTCTGTTGCATTGCATCCTCACAGGAGCTTTGTAAGCGAGGCTCAGAGCTGCTGGAATCAAAGAGCGCACGAGTGGAAGAAGCTGCTAACGAACTTATTGCAATGTTACTTGAACTTGACGAGGAAGATGAGGACGAGCTTGACAGCGACGAAGATCAGGAGAAATTTGACGACTTGCCAAACGACAAGGACGATGGAGCGAAAGATGAAATCGTCCCTAGAGGGGAAAGTGCACGGAGTCGCCCCCGCACGGGTGGTAGTCGTCCAGATAGTCGCTCGGCTAGCAGCCGATTGGGGAGCGCCGTCATTAGCCCAGCGGCTGCTGCAGCTAAGCGCAAGCGCGAGATACGTGATCAACTAAATATGGAAGCTCAGGAATTGTTGATGCATTTTATTCATAAGAATGTAGACGCGATTGTTCGGGTAACGAGAACAACTTTAGATGGGATGCGCAAACGCGTACAGGCGGCAATAGCAGTTCATTATCTTGAAAACAGCAACTCCTCGGGGCAGGGGAGGGACTCAGGTCCTGATTTGTCGCCGCTGTTTTTGGCGAACGTGACGCTGCAGATTCCAAACATCACCATGCAACCTGCTTTGGACGAGATTCAACAAGGACTAAACAAAGCGGCACAGTATGTCGTGTCTGTGTCCAAAGGCGTGTCGCAATGGAACAAGACTTGTAAAGCGCTTATTAAAAAAGAGAAGAAAGAAAAAGACGATTCTGATGACGAGGCTCGGAGCCGCTCGGCAAGTAACGCGGGAAGCGACGACGAGAGCCGATCAGACGTCGCACCATCCCGAAGAGTTACGAGAATGCCAGCGGATAGCGACGCCGGTACAGTCGTCAGCATGGCAATCTTCCCGCAGAAAGCGAATTACTTCAAAAACGTCGCCGAGAACAAAGAAATCGCTAAACTGGTATCATTCCTTTCGACAGCGATTAATTCCCAGAAGAAAGATGTCACGACCGCCTTGCAGTTTTTTACCAAGTATGAGCCAATTTGGAAAGAAGACCGAGAAGAGGAGATTGCGAAGTTTTTGGAAACTGATCCCAAGCTGTCGGAGTTCGAGGCACAGATTCTGAGGTACAAGGCGCTGGAGGAGACTATCATGAAAGAACCAGAGTCTTACAAAGCTGGAGCCATAGCACTGTTCACAGGTATCGTGCGATGACACGTTCATTTCTCCAAACCGTATTAATAGTTTACCAAACAGGCGTGTGACGAGAAGAAAGAAAACCATCAATCAGAAGAGATCGTATTAATCGACGCTCAAATTCTGAGACCTGAAAATTTGAGATTTCTTGGGCGATTAGCTGTGAAAATTTAAAATCTTCAGCAGTGGACCCAGGCTATGAATCCGGCAACCTTTATGCGTCCAAATTCACACTTACAATTACCACCAACTTATTCCTTTATAATGTAGTTGTTACTCGTAGGATTACAGATGTGTGCCATAGCTGTGAATTTGCTAAGAAACCGCCATTTGAGCTCGTTTACGTGTCGTTAACACGTTTCACCTGTTTTCTGATTTACTCTTAATTCTATTTTTGGGTATAGTGGTTTGTTTTACTGTGGTTCCTTTAGTTTCATATTCGACAACTACTATCGAAAACGTTTTCTCTGTTTAACTGTTATTTGCTGCTTTTCTCACAGAACGCCTGAAAACAGCGTTGTGCGCAGAAACAAGAGCCTGGTGCGTAGCGTTTGGTCGAAACTGTAACGTCAGGTATCGAACAGAAATGGAGGAAATATTCACCTTTATTGAAGAGATCACGAAGCGTCTCAGCCGGCCAATCAAAGACCTTGATGATATACGGCATGCTATGGCCGCCCTGAAAGAGATCCGGGACAGAGAGATCATGATTGACATGTCCATTGGGCCTATTGAGGTAAGGGGCCTAGATGTTCCTACAGTACCGGCCATGAGGATTACAGCTTTACACGCGCGTAGAGTGCAAAAAAGCCACATTTTATTTGTGTGCTCAAGGATGCGTTCTCGTTTTGTTTTCACAGGAATCATATGCGGTGTTAAATCGTTATGAACTTCTCGTCGCCAAAGAGGAATCGGAAAGGGTGGATACTCTTCGATATTCCTGGCAGAAACTCCAGTCACTGGCGGTAAGTACGCTGATGACAATTTGCTGAATTGTTAGCTTGGGTATTGACGTTCATAAGGTATTGGCATTCATATCGCAACTTCAACGTTCGAACTTCTTTTCAGGTTTTGAGGAAATGTTATGTCTTCACTATTGTGTAAATTAGATTTGTTCGGAAACGGTGTAACCAGAACGTAGTTCATTTGCACTTTTTCATTTGCTTAATCGTCTTCAACTTCGTTTGACAGACATCCTGTTTGCCCTCATATTGGTGGGTGGGGCTGTCGTCTTGGGCTAGAAAAAAGTGAAATTAAAAGTTGAAAGTTAAATTTGGAGTTAGCTGAATGTACTTCCTTGTTTTGTAACGAAAAAAAGTAATGAGCAGCCATTAAGAGCACTGCACTGATAATGTGTATTTTTATCTTTCTCTCTCCAGACTGAGTCTCAAGGGCATCTCATACAAATTCAGCCCAATTTCAAGGGAGATCTTATCGACAAAGTGCAAGTCTTCATCGTCGATGTGTCGTCTTTCTCCTCAGACTATCACTCGGTATGTTTATGTCGACTCCACTCTCACGACCAATATGTTACCTTGTGTTCCAGCATATTTATATCTGTAGTGTATGGAGTAGAATCCCGATTTTTCAAACCATCTAAGGGAACGTAAATTGGCCCAAAATATCGAAAGGTTCGAGAAATCTATGGTAGATTTTCTTGCAACCTTTTAAAGGAGCTGAAAAATTGCCCCGTATAATCAGGAAGCTGGATAAAGCGAAGGTTGTAAGAATTTGGATTCCACGGCAATTATAAAAACATTTGTGATGCTTGCGTTGCTGTTACGAAAGAAAAAAAAAAATAAGATGGGGATTTGCTGTTACGTTTTCGTGCCAATGCCTCTGTTACGGGAGACAAGAGGTTGCAATATGGTTATCTTTTGTCTTTCATTTACTGTAGTATCTGTTATTATCCTAACTGTATTGTACTGTCTTGTTATCAGAGCGGCCCAATGGTTGCCAACGTCCCTCCTCGCGAGGCTAGTGATCGACTCATCATATTTCAGGTAGGTTTGCTTACCTGGAAATTCTCGTGATAGCAATGTAATCTACAAGCGACATGACCACATGAGGTTTATTGTGTTGAATCCAATCCTGAGCCCGGGGTTTGAGCCCTGGCCTCGCCTTTTCAGTGTATTTGAGTCTCCGTGTTGTGTCCTTGGGCAGGACAATTTATTTTCACGGTGTTCAGTTGATGTCTTTCGAGTGCCAATTGGTGGAGACAGAGAACTATTGCGATTGATTTCTGACACATCCAGGGCGAGTGTTGATGCGCTTAAGTAGATGATAGGTCACTGGGCGGTTCAGAAACAGTTCAGTCAAGAGCTCTTGTCACATATAATTGTATTAATTGCTTGTCTTGTTCCGTTTAGAACCGTTTTGATGCTCTGTGGCGCAAGTACGTGACGTATTCCGGCGGTGAAGAGCTGTTTGGGCTCGCTGTGACTGAATATCCAGATCTTATGCAGATCCGCCGAGAACTGAACCTTCTACAGAAGCTCTATGGTCTGTACAACGACGTCATCGATACTGTAAATGGCTATTACGACATCCTGTGGGTTGATGTTAACATCGAAAAGATCAACATCGAACTACAAGACTTTCAGACCCGGTGAGAATTACTCAAAGATCACTTAGCGTGCTGCAGAAGGCGCTACGCACAATATCTAATGGAGTGTTTGAAACACTCACTGTTTCTATTCTGCATCTCTCTACGTCAAAAGAGTCACATGCTGTAGTGTATCTTACTTGATTTCTACAATATTTTTATATTTGTACAATATAAGGTTTAGGTTTTCTTTGATTGAAAGTCCAGTATTTTGTAAGTATCCTGACCAAACCGTATCTTATCCAACGTATTTCTGTGTTGTACTGGATCTCCTGATAAGAGAATAAAATTGTAAATGTTTTGACTGACACACCGTAGTGTCAATTTGATTATCTGTCTCTGACCTTGCGACAGATGCCGTAAGCTTCCCAGAGCCTTAAAAGACTGGCAGGCCTTCCAGGATTTAAAGCAAACCATCGATGACTTCAACGAAAGCTGCCCGCTCCTTGAGCTGATGGCTAACAAAGCCATGAAACAAAGGCACTGGGACCGAATAGCCGGGCTGACTGGTCATACGTTCGACATGGAGTCAGAGACGTTCTCACTCAGAAACATCATGGAAGCACCACTACTGAAACATAAAGAAGACATTGAGGTTTGTTGTTGTTTTGCTTATTGCCAAATTTTAATTTACAATTATTCCCGTGGAGAAGTATTACAGAGATTTACGTTCGTTCTTCTCTTTAGGATGTGTGCATCGCTGCAGTCAAAGAGAAAGACATTGAAGCCAAACTGAAGGCAGTCGTTGCCGACTGGAGCACAAGAGAACTGACGTTCGCAAACTTCAAGAATCGCGGAGAACTTTTGCTGCGAGGCGACAACACGTCCGAGATTGTGGCGTTAATGGAGGACAGTTTAATGGTGCTTGGGTCGTTAATGAGCAACAGGTAAGATTAATTCTCTATTTGAGGCGAGAAGACCTTGTGGCGAACGGTTGTTAACCCATAAAATCCAGAACTCGAACTTGAACTTTAAAACGTTTACCGTTCTAAACTTCAACTTCACTTTTTTATTGCGGACTATTTACAGAGTGAATTTACATTAGTATTACACAAGAAATATGAGAAGAGAAATATATGTTACATATGACTATGAAAGGAATTAAAAAAGCTTTCGAGCTGGTTATCACCGTGTTAAGTTAAATGCGGAGAACAAAAATACAATACGGAGGAATACATTACTGAAAATACATTACAAAACTATAAGTGACTATATTATTAACTATATTTTAAGTATTTGAGAGGTAAAAGAGGTAAAAGAGGTGTTACTTGGTATCATTTTTACTTGCTGTTTGTGGGTAACCGAAATCTAAAACTTATTACACTCGGTCAGGACCCAAAATTCAACGGGCATTAGAACTATTAGATTTAGATTCATATTTGTAATCGTCTTTACTTGATCGCTGATTATCTTACCAGGTATAATGCGCCTTTCAAGAAGAACATTCAGAGTTGGGTACAAAAGCTTTCGAACACAACCGACATTATTGAGAACTGGTTAACAGTGCAGAACTTGTGGATTTACCTTGAGGCTGTGTTTGTTGGAGGAGATATTGCAAAACAATTGCCAAAGGTTTGTCACAACTTCCATTGATAGTTTTACGCAGAATCAAAAAAGAACGTAAATTTAACTCTTAAATGAAATAAAATGAAATAAATGCGGCTGGGACCTCAACTGTAAGCGCTATCCCAGCGGTACCTAACTCATTTAGAATTTTTGAAAAGGTTGAGAACAGAATCTGAATGTCCAGCAGACTCGAGGCTTGATCAGTGAAAGCACATGGTAGTCGAGAGCCTAGAGGGGATATTCGTTAAACTCCCTTGAGAGCTACCCCCAAACTATTGTCTTTCCTTCACGTGCTCTAGCTTTAGCTAAACACTAACAGCCAGGATAACATAAAATTTTCATTGTCAGGTTAATAATCCCTTTGAATCGTCGATATTCTTTTATTTTCAGGAAGCAAAAAGATTTCAGAACATTGACAAACAGTGGGTAAAGATCATGACTCGAGCACATGAGAATGCTAATGTAGTACAGTGCTGTGTGGGTGACGAGACTCTTGGACAGCTCTTGCCACATCTCTTGGAACAGCTGGAACTCTGTCAGAAGTCACTTAGTGGGTATGTAGTGACTGGCAGTTGGACAGACAGTGCTATGTAACTTTGGGTTAATGATTTGAGCGACTGTTGCACAAACACCTATTTCCTTCAGGCTATTTCAATTGTCTCTCAGTTCTTAATGCCGTTAATGACAAATTTCACTGTATAGAAATGACTTTTTTCAGTCAGTGCTCAATATTGTATGCAGTGATGTGGAAGTTTCTTTCAGTTTTCACGTGTTACAGCCTCATTGTTGACAAAATGCGTTCGTATTATTTTAGTATAAATCTACTAGCGTTCTATCGCGAATGCATGAACTATCAACAATTACTCGATAGAAATCTCCAGCTCATTATCCAATCGTTAAGTAGAAACTAGGCAAACTTTGTAACATTGGCGAATTCAAACTTGTTAAACCAAACATTTTCTCTTCGCAGGTATTTGGAGAAGAAGCGTCTCGTTTTCCCAAGATTTTTCTTCGTTTCCGATCCAGTGCTCTTGGAAATTCTTGGTCAAGCAAGCGATTCACACACTATTCAGGTAAACAAAAAAAAAGGTTGGACCAGTTTGGCCAACACGATAGTATAATTGGCTATAAGTAAGCAGCTGTTTATAGCAACTTTCTGCCAGAAGGGTAATTGGGTTTGGAGTGTTCAGAGCAAAGTATGCATGTATGCTTATACGGAAGTATGAGATTACCGGCGCTCTCAACCGCCTTGCATAACACGCACACTATTATGTGTTTACCATGCAGCATGTAGAGGACACCAGAGAGCAATCTTGCTCGTATTAACTCGGGCACATGTTCCTCTTTCCTCTCTCGTGGTGCTACTTGCCGCTGATTCGAAGTGTATGAGAAAAAAGTCTTTGCAGGTTGGAATTTTTCGAGGCAAGCTTGCAAAAATCAGTTTTCAAGATTTCACACCCATGGCACTTCCCCACACCAAATAAAGCTGAACTGTATGGTCTTTGTTACCCCTCAGTTATCGTGTGGTTAGAAATTTCAAGCACAGTATCGTTGTTAATCGATGCAATAATTGTTAAATATTCCAGGCCCACTTGTTGAACGTTTTTGATAACACCAAGACAGTCAAGTTCCATGAAAAGGACTACGACCGTATTCTTGCTATCATCTCTTCAGAGGGTGAAACAATCGAGGTGAGAAATGTTTATTCTCTCGCTTTAAATACACTACCACTCCATCTCGTGAGCCCATGTGTAATGAATCCGCTTTTGCAAGGGAAAAAGAAAAGAATTTCAAATCTCGAAAAAAATCCCTGAAAATATTGCTATTTTTGGTAGAAGAACTTGTGCTAGGGTGTGTCAGTAGCATTGTTGTGTTCCTTATCTTATTACCAGTTCTGTTGTTTTTGTTTGTAGCTTGAAAAACCTGTTATGGCTCAAGGCAATGTTGAAGTTTGGCTGGGTACTTTGTTAGAGATGTCACGCAAGTCAGTCCATCACGTGATTCGTACAGCGCACACCGCTGTTCAAGATCAAGGTTTTAATCTGCTGGAGTTTCTTAGTACATTTCCGGCTCAGGTACTGATGTTTTGCTCTATCGTGTTCTAGAGAAGGCTTTTGAAATAAGTTCTTGTGACGATCTGTGGACCACGACTGGCTGGATCAACTTTCCAAAAAGTTGAACATCGTTTCATTCATGCCAAAAATACTGCTAAAATCCGCTCAATAAAATAAGGGGTGTGGGCAGAAAAAGATATGGAAAGAGACGAAGGAGACGCTGTCTTGTATTCATTGACTTTGTAAATCCTCATTTTACCCTTCCCTCACAAGTGTTGAACCTAAAGTAAGCAAAGTTAGAGATCAAGGCCGTTCAGAACGCGACGTTTCTGTCAAATGTAGATACTCGGATTTCAATAAAGAAAATTGTAACGGACTTGCCAGTCGATTAAAGTGTTTACAAATCGGGGCAATGGAAGCATTTGTCTTTGGTTTCGACCATGCGTGTAATTATAATATATGTGATTGGTTTTCCTAACAGTAATTGTGCAAATTTTGTTTGTAGGTCGGCCTGCTTGGAATCCAGATGATATGGACAAGAGACTCCACAGAGGCGCTGACAAACGCTAAGTATGACAAGAAGGTGATGCAGCAAACCAACACTGCCTTTCTGGAACTGTTGAACGTGTTGATCGAACAAACCACTAAAGAACTCACAAAAGTTGAACGAACGAAGTTTGAAACACTCATCACCATTCACGTGCATCAGAGAGACATTTTCGACGACCTGGTGAGTGATCTGGTTTTATATAATAATCAAATGAATGCGAGCGCCCTGATTGGTCAATCAGCTATGGTTTATTGAGTTATTATATAAAAGCAATAGACCACAAGTTTTTATGGTTTAGAGGCGTGATAAACCACTTGGGATGTTGGAAGAACACTCGAAGAATTCGTAAATCACTCGCCTGCAGCTCGTGATTTACGAATTCTTCTGGTGTTCTTCCAACATTCCGCGTGGTTTATCAGCCTATAAACCATAAAAACTTGTGGTCTGTTGCTTAAATAACCTCAGAGAACACATTCCCAAAGTTTGTCTTACCTGGTAATCCTGTATAGTGAAACTCGGGCGGTGGGATTCAAATATTGCAATTCGTAATACGCTAAGTACAAAAATAATCGAGTAAAATATGGTAATAAAACAACTGTTCCAATGTTGTTGTTTATAGTGGTCGATGCGCTTAGCTTCACCTAGCTAGTTCACAGGCATGCCACTTAAACTGAATGAAACAAATCAAGTAAATATAAAAATGACCACTTCTTAATTACGACACCTGATTGCGGCAATAACTTGACAGCGAGAAATAATTATTTTAAGTTAATTGTTTTGATTTAAAATCTTGGTGGGATTTTGGCGGTGAATAACGACATTTCCATCAAAGCTTTAGCATAAACTCTCGCAACAGGAATCTGCCCTATCGAGGAACAGTCACATCCTTTAGTTTGTGACCTGTTAGTAGTTTCATCTATCTTCATCAGTTCTTTACTGTCTTAACTGCCTTCTTTTAACGCATTGAAACATGCTCTCAAAACAGAAAACTTGATACCTGAACCGTTTTCCGTGCCGAATTTGAAATTTTAATTTGAAAGAAAACGGACGAATCATAACACCTTTAGATTAAATGATTTCTTTTGAAAATTCTCTCCTCTCCTTCAGTGTCGCATGCACATCAAGACGCCATCAGACTTTGAGTGGTTGAAACAAATTCGTTTCTATTTCAACGATGACACGGACAAGTGTTCAGTTTCCATAACAGACGTGGACTTCATCTACCAAAACGAATTCCTTGGCTGTACAGAAAGGCTTGTCATTACACCGCTGACCGATCGCTGCTACATTACTCTGGCCCAGGCCCTTGCTATGTCTATGGGTGGCGCGCCGGCTGGACCGGCTGGAACTGGAAAAACAGGTTTGCGTTGAGTCAGTTGCGAGATTGCTATGAAATTTAAGGATCAGTAGTTTTAGCTTATGTGACTCGAATGGAAGGTTGGATTGCTCCTTTGTATCAGCTTTGATAATCATACAGTCAAGTAGTTGATGTATTTGTCGCGTTACAGTGTTTTCTCTTTTATTTTACAGAAACCACCAAAGACATGGGAAAAGCTCTTGGAAAATATGTGGTTGTATTCAACTGCTCGGATCAGATGGACTACAGAGGACTGGGGCGAATTTTCAAAGGTTAACATATTTAACGCTAGTTCTCAATGTTTCTGAAGAGTTAAACGACCGCAAAATAAGATCTGTGACTCAAAGGATTCAAAGGCTTTCCAGTATTCCCAGTTAATGTACGAAAACCCGAACCTGAGCTAATTCTCATGCACGTCGCAGCCAGGATGAATCATGCTAAAATCGAAAAACGTTCTCCGGCCAAAGGTAGATTTAAAACACAAGCTTTCGACTGTCTTAACTACAGTCTTCAACGGGCTGTCGAAAGCTTGTGTTTGTTATATACTTTTAGCCGAAAAATATTTTTAGATTTTACCACGGTTAAACCTCCCCCAACTGGCAGGAGGCAAACCAGGTGGTTATTTAAATCCATGGCTGAGGAGTTCATCTCGGGACTATAAAGACAACAACACCAAGTCCGGCGCCCTAACCACTCGGCCACGTTGCCCGAAAAATTTCATACTGATCGGGTGATTCCGTGTGATATCCCGGACTGGTTGTTTAGTTGTTGTCTTTTCCTCACCCAAGATCGAACTCACGTCTAGAACCGCTCTTTTACGCCGTGTATAAACGTTCCCAGAGAGCAGAAGGTTGAGAAGTTATCTATTACCATAGAGCCGTCAATAATAGCTCATTTGTCTTGCGTATTTCAGGACTGGCCCAGTCAGGCAGTTGGGGATGTTTTGATGAGTTCAACCGTATTGACCTGCCTGTGTTATCAGTGGCTGCGCAGCAGATCTACATCGTGCTCATGTGCAAGAAAGAGAGGAAGAAGCAGTTTATCTTCTCGGACGGAGATGTGGTGGAAATGAATCCAGAATTTGGTAACTTGCTTTCGCGTTCCCTGTATCGCCGTAAATTGTATTTGCACACATTTACCTTGACAGGGCGACATCTTGTTGTTCTGCACATTCGAAAACGTGCGAAAATCCTAGAAACCGTTTTCGTCTGAAAGTCGGTTACATTACTTAATAAGTGACTTGATACTCCGAAACGGTGTGCTGATTGTCGCAGAAGACTGAAGAAAACCACAGGCCGCATAATATTTTAGAGTCGAAGATATAATTTCAGACGTGGTTTAAACAGTCGTACTCCAAAAATGTGTCTTTTTTCCAATGGCTTGTTCCCATTCAAGGCAGAAAGAGAGAGAGGAGAGAGACTAGTTGTGCAACTACAAGGAGTACCTTTTACTTTACAACGCTCTTTTTTTTACTTCATCTCAGGCATCTTCTTGACGATGAACCCTGGCTATGCTGGCAGACAGGAACTTCCAGAGAATCTTAAGATCCAGTTCCGTACAGTGGCCATGATGGTGCCTGACCGACAGATCATCATCCGTGTCAAGCTCGCTAGCTGTGGTTTTATTGACAATGTCACTTTGGCCAGGAAATTCTTCACTCTGTACAAACTCTGCGAAGAGCAACTTTCTAAACAGGTAATTTGATCAAAAATAACGATTTATTTCTCTTTATTTGTTTTCTTCTGCTCCAGTCGAACAGTGAATAGACTATGCATGTTTTTCTGTCAACTGTTTCAGTTTACGTAAGCGTTTCTTCTCAGTTTGCACTTACGGTCTTCCTATCGTAAATTGCTATAAGCAGTTTTCTTTTAACTCTGCTTTTGCTAATGTTCTCTTCAGGTTCACTATGACTTTGGCTTGAGGAATATTTTATCAGTTCTGAGAACTCTTGGCGCTGCAAAACGATTGAGTGTTGGAGACAGTGAGAACACAATTGTGATGAGAGTACTCAGGGATATGAACCTTTCCAAACTGGTAAGACGTTAAAGGCTGGTTTCCATATGATCGCAGACGATCGCGGATCGCAAATCGCAGATCGCTGACGATCGCAAAGAGAGTTGTTTCCATATAATCGCAGACGATCGCAAGCGATCGCAGAGCCGACTGTTGCATACATTTCGGACAGCGGAACTGTCAAAA